TAAAAAGGCCTTTTTAATCATATTCTGTTGGTGCACTTCTTTACCTTTGTACTCTATTTTCTCTATGGTACGAGACTTTTGTTTTTTTCTTAACATATATGCTAACCATCTACCTGGTTTATTTGCATTGCAAAAAGTATTGTGTTTAGCATATAGCAAGTTAGTTGCTGCCTGGTCTGACGTCAACATGTTAAATTGCCCTCGCAGTAAAGTAATTGCTTCTTTTGTCTTTTTATCATCTGGGTTAGATATTAGTGCCTGCTCTTTGTTTTTTATCTCCTCTTCTAGTTCCCTCCATTTTCCCCCCTGTCTACATCTGTGTAAGTTATTCAAATTTATTAGAACACCTCTCATATATGCTTTACTTGCATCCCAAACCATTTCCATGGGTGTTAAAAACAAAATATTCTTTCAATAGTTTTTTACATTCCATCACATTTCCCTCATATCTAAATAAATTTTCATTTAACCCCCAAGACCTCCTAGACCCCTCTTCATATTCCAGTTCCATCCACACCGGATTGTGATCTGTTAGAGTTCTTGGGCATATCTTTGTCTTCTTCACCCTGGAAAGAAAATCATTCGTAATTAATATAAAGTCAATTCTAGAAAAGGATTGGTGTCTATCAGAGAAAAATGTAAAGTCTTGTTCTTTATAAACATTCCATTCACGCAAAATATCTCTCAGTTCCATATCATCCATCATGTCGAAAAAAAGATTTAGGCAATCTTGCTCATGTTTGAGTATTTTGCAAAAATCCCTTCTTGTCTTTCATAGTCCTTGTCATCCAATACTCCATTCCAGTCACCCAATAATATACACAATCTATAATCCCATTGTATTAATTTAGTATGCAACAACTTGTAAAAATTTTCTTGTTGTTGGTTGGGAGCATATACTCCCATTAATAGTATTTTATTTCCTTCTATTAATAATTCAATTGCAATATATCTTCCTTGAGGATCTGCTTCAATTAATTTAGCCTTTAAATCTTTCTTTAAATATATAACTATGCCATTTTTCTTCTCTGGAGCTGATGCCACAAAGTGTATTCCCAATCTTGCATTTATCAAATATTTCTGGTCATTTGTTCTAATATGTGTTTCTTGCAAACAAATTCCAACAAGAATAGCAAGAATGTCCAAGAACAAGTCGGAAAAGTGTTGGAAATGTCATCAGACACCAGGTTCATATTACCATATGTGGTGGACTTGCATAGAAAGCTAAAGGTACTGGACTAAAATCCACATGTGTTTGGAGAAAATGATACAAAAACACAAAGACTTTAAACCAGAGATTTTTTTATTGGGAATCATACCAGAAACATATAATAAAGATCTGAAATATTTGATTGTAAATGTTTTTTTCCCATAGAAAGTTTTTATTTTCCATTTTCATAGCATATAATCACATGTATACTATTACATAGTCAATATCCTGTTGTATTAATAAATAATTACATTAATTCATCTTATCATCATTATCAAAGGGGAAAAAAAGAAAAACCCAGTTATTGGCTCTTCTGCTCTCCATACACCATATTTATACCTTATCCAACACTTTCTTCCCCCTCTCTC